AGAGTGCCTCAAACTTTAAAAAACCCCATTCACCTACTATATGTAATGGTGCCGCATGACAAGTGATTCACAATGGAAAACTCTCAGCTATGCCTCTGAAGTGATAAAACAGGAGTAAGACAAGGCTGGCTACCTTTACGTCTAATATTATCGGAGTTTCTTGAATAAAACAAAAAATGGGGTGCTAAGAGCAGCAGAAAGATATTCAGGTACGTAAACTATAAGATTACGTAAGTTATTAGAAAACTGTTAATATACACGAATGAGACATCAAACAAATATTGTGAGTTAAACTCATTTGGTCAGATATCAGACATTTGACGCAGGACGCTTATTAAATGCTGGCGTAACTCAGTAGGAATGAAAACAGATAGGCGTTTACATTTAAAAGAAGTGACATAATCGACTGAGGTTAAAGGAGAAGTTTTCAAGGTACAAAAACAATTACTACAGCTTCGGTAGCACAGTCGTAGAATGCTCGCCAAACACACAGGTGGTTTAAGGTTCAATCCCCGGCCGACGCACCCCTTTACCTCTCTAAGCCAGTAATAAGACTAGTAAAGAGGGAAGGTTGGGCATGGGGCTAGGAACCCCATCCCGTAAACTTCAGATCTCCAGCCAGAAGCCCTATGTTTCACTGGGAACGTAAAGGAATTAACCAAAAAGCTTCTTTTTGAATACATAGTTCAGGTTTTAATCTCTTGATAGCGATGGCCTATGTCAACTTCAGGAGACTGTTATCTTGTGTCAATCAGATGTCTGATAACTGCGTTGTTCAATGATTTACTTCCTCCTAATTGAAGACTTGTAAGTATGTACTCAGGAGGTCTAAGATAGGTCCTCCTTTATGTTCTTCCAATTTATCTACTCTGGTAGATATAAATCAAGAATTGCAATGATTACCATTCCACAAATGATACGTGTACCTTGGGTTCCTGTTTAATGAGTTCCACTATCTGACATAACCAGCACATTAAAAAATATTTCACCTAGGATTATTATAAAACAGAAAGATTGAGTGAAGAAATATTTACTTTTCAATTAGATCCTCATCTCTGGATCTACTCTAATATACATAGCATTTTTATTACAATACACAACAGTTTACCAAACAAGTGGCACTGATATGTTTGTTAACAATAATTAAACAGTGTCAAAATGTCAGTGCGACGGGTGATAATTAACGAAGAAAATCAATACACACATTTAAAAGGTAGAAATGTATAGAATAAATTAATTTTACAAGGATAACACGTAATTAAAGATGAAGTGGTCAAAATAAATAAAAATAATTTGGACAACTATAGTTTTTTTTTATAGTTTTTAAAGGTTTAGGGGGAGGGGGCGACCTAGTCCTGTTTATACATTCTTGTAAAGATGGCCACGGTAAGGAAAGTGGCTGTACAAATTTCATCTGAACACATACGCTTGGCTTCTTCAGGTAGATTCCGATTGCTTCAGCTGTCTGTAGGAGACGAACTCGTAGAGCAAAGTTAAGATTAGTCAGAATGCGATAAATAATTTTAAATGCAGTATTCACATCAACCTTGTGCTCAGTATCAACAAGGTGTGCTAAAATAGAACTACGAATAGATCTTATTTGTCCTCCCTTGCTTAGCCATGCTGGATAATGTTCGGAAATACGACGATGAAGCTGCCTAATTGTACGCCCAATGTAGCTGGCTCCGCAGCTGCAGTCAAACTGGTAGATACACATGATTATTATTATTAAATGGGAATATCGATTTTTCATCGTTTGCTAATGGCTCAGTAAGAATGCATTTCATACTGATCAGTCAAAAAAGAAATAAATGATATCATAATGGAATTAATGAAACAAAGGTATAGAAATATTCATGTATAAAGCGTCGACATATCAGTATGGTGTCATCAGTTGAAATTACAACGATCTTTTATCAACTCTTTGTTGTCAAGAGAGGCAAATCATGTGCAGATCAAGATGCAACGCCACGCCACGCCTCATCAACAAACAGTGCATAGAGTAGAAGTTAAATCTCCATCTCACTTTTATCAACTTTTAAAAAGCCTTCAATAGAGTTGTTAGCGAAGTGATTTGGAAACTGTTTCAACGTCAAGAAGTGCCTCAAACCTTTATCAGACTTGTACAACCACTATATGATAATGTCACATGTCAGGTAATCCACAATGGAAAGAACAGTCATGCTTTTAGAAATGAAGGTAGGAGCGAAACAAGACTGCCTACAATTACCAGTGATATTCATGATTTTGGTGGATTGGTTCATGCTACAGACCATGGGGAGCGGGAAAACAATGATATGTTGGGCCGACAAGAAGATCTGGACTTTGCCCAATGTCAGTGCGTCGGTGGTATAGCGGTTAGGACGCTCGCCGACCATGCACATGGTCCGGGGTTCGATCCCCGGCCGACGCACTCCTTTACCTCGCTAACCCAGAAATAATGCTGGTGAAGAGGAAAGGTTGGGCATGAGGCTAGCAACCCCATCCTGTTAAATAAACACTGCTACCGAAACTTCAAGACAACTAGCTCGAAGCCTTATGTTCCATTGGGGAACGTGAAGGACAAAAACAAGCGCCTAATGTCACACGATATTGACGATCTACAGACTAAAACCAACAAGCTGACAGAAGGCAATCAAGATGGTAAAAGCTGGAAAGCAGCATTGATATAAGTATAAAACTTGGGCACTGTGGTAGAGTATAATTCCATAATGGATAAGATTTTATTTTGATAAATCACACAGTGTAGTACAGTTATATTAACTGATGACGTTTCGAGCACAAACTATTGCTCATAATCATATCAAGTTACCAAAAAAGCAGCAGGACCAGATGGAATCCCAGCAGAAGCATTGAAAACGGACCCAGAGACAACAGTGGACTTGATGACGCCACTAGTGGAGAAGGTTTGGAAAGAAGGCAAAGTACCCGAGGATTGGAAGAAAGGATACTTATTCAAACTACCAAAGAAAGGAGACTTAAGTGAGTGCAAGAACTGGCGCGGAATTATGCTCCTGTCCATCCCAAGCAAAATACTAAGCCGCATCATCCTGGAGAGAATCAAACATGCCCTGGATGAAAAACTTCGACCGGAACAGGCTGGATTCAGGAGAAACAAGTCATGCATTGATCAGATCGCCACATTACGGATCATCATTGAACAAAGCTTGGAGTGGCAGTCACCTCTCTATCTCAACTTCATCGACTTTGAAAAGGCCTTTGACAGCGTCGATCGGGAGGTGATTTGGAAACTACTTCGCTACTAACAAGAGGTGCCACCGACAATAATACATCTCATCCAACAGCTGTACGACAATGCTGCATGCCAAGTAATCCACAACGGGAAACTTACGGAATCCTCCAAAGTGAGGACAGGAGTACGACAAGGCTGCCTACTATTGACAATGATTTCCCTGATTGTAGTAGACTGGATAATGCGTAAAACAGCGGGCAATGAGGAAACGGGCATAAAATGGACACAAACAAAAAAACTTGGAGGATCTGGACTTCGCCGATGATATATGTCTGATTTCCCGCAAACTGGAAGACATGCAAACGAAAAGCAACAAGTTAGTAGAAGAAGCATCAAAGATAGGACTTCAGGTGAACATAGAGAAGACAGAGGTAGGTGATGAAGATTCCTGGACAACACCACCACCAACAGCAACAACAACAGACAACAATCAGCATAAATGGGAGGAACCTGAAAGAAACAACTTCTTCTACCTACCTACCTGGGAAGCATCGTGTCAACTACAGCTAGACGGAACTGACGAGGATATCAAAGCAAGGATCGATAGGAAAAGCAAGACAAGCTTCCACTACTCTCAAGTCTGTGTGGAGGTCAACAGCACTCAGCATCAAAATGATAATAAGATCCGGATTTTCAACTCCAATGTGAAGTCAGTCAGTGTCACTTACTATACGGATCAGAGACTTGCACTGCGCGTCATTAAGAGCATCTCAATTAAACTACAGACCCTCATTAACAGCTAGCTGTCTTCGCTCAATACCACTCAAGATCAGATGGCCGGCCGGCCAGAAAAGATCAGCAACAGGGACCTTTGGGAACGAACCAACACTTCAGGAACCGATTGTGAAACAAATAGGCAGGAAGAAATGGAAGTAGGTGGATTGGCTGGCCATACTCTGAGGAAACAAGCCATCAAGTGACATCACTAGATGAGCCATTGCTTCAGTGGAACCCGAAAGAATGGGAAGCGGTGGGGAGTTGGTCGTCAGTGCAAGGGTGACTTGGAGGAGGTCATGTTGAGAGGAGATGAAGATGTGTGGACAGACTTGGAGCCAGGTGAAGACTGTAGCAGAGAACGGAACGCAATGGAGACGCACGGCTGAAGGCCTATGTTCCTCTGGGAATTATTGGAAACAATATTAATAAAATAATTTAATAAGTCGATTACAGTTTCATATTTTTTCCACAAAGTATGGTTTCTTCAAGTAGATTCCAGTTGTTCCAGCCAAATGTAGAAGACGAACTCGTAAAGCAAAATTAATATTGGTTGGAACGCTGTAGATGGATAATTTCAAATGCTTTATTAATATCAAACCTTGTGCTTACTATCTACAGGATGTGCTTATACAGACCTAAAAACAGACTTTCAAGTATTGGTTTGTGAGGATTTGATTGATTGGCTGCAGGATTTCGTCATAAAGTGACATCGGTTAAGGAACCAATGTAAAAAACCAACTGGGAGTACTGGAGAGTCGTTTTGTCAGCCTAGTTTTGGACTCTTCACCAGTACGCACCCACCGGGGTTCAAGTATTGGTATCGTCCTAGGACGAAACAGCTGTCCAGTACTCCCAGGTTTTCCAATGGTTCTCTAATCAATGTCAATTCATGACGAAATCCTGTAACCAATCAACCGAATCCCCACAAACCAATACTTGAATACTTATCTGTGTTTGTAGTTTTTCTATATACACCCTCTGTGTGTACTTAATTTATTGACTTATATTTTTTTATTTATTCACATTTTAGATTAAAATGTGAAGTTGCTCAACTCAAAGATACTATCAAATTATTAAAACAACAGTTATGTCGAGCTGAAGATATACTACAAGAATTATTACGTTTGAAAAGTGCTAAAGAAGCAGAATTAGCTATTAAAAATAATAGTATATTTATTGATCGTGAGAAATGCTTAAGTTTACGCTCGAATTGGCCTGGTGGTCCAACAGTCAGTGCATCGCATGCAGCACCATGTCCTGGTTTCATTGATTCACAACAAGTCGGTGTTGGCGGTGATATGGCTAGAACATGTGTTTGTTGAAGGTGAAAGACAATAGGAAAGAGCGGGCGACGGGAGGGGGGGTTGAATAATTCAAGCTCTTTTTATTTCCCTTATCAGTCAAGCTGTGAACAAACAGAAGAGCAAAACTTTATGAAGTGATTGATCCTTTACTTAATTTTATCGATTTTCATTCATTCTTTTAACAGTGAACCGAGACTTTCAACTTACGCAGTTTGTGAGGTAACAACTTGAAGTAATTTAATCTGTAATCCACATACATACACATATACACACACAAAAATGCAACATCTTAACAACACAACACCTACAGAAAAAAAAATAAAACTTAGTGGTGACATACACAAAAACCCAAAATTGTAAACGATGAGGGGCATTCATTCATGTGTATCCCTAAAGACGTTTCATGTGTCAGGATGTATCTGGTCGACACTTATTATGTGGTCAGGAGCAATCTTCGTATGTTTCGCATGCGATTCGCTCACGCCAAATGTAAGATGATGTTACAGGATTGGACTACACTGACTCCTAGATTAGAAATAGGAAGTGAAGTGGTAGAGCACGTTGACCGCTTCACTTACTTGGGAAGTACCATCAGCCAGTGCCAACGAGTTGATCTCTGACGAAATCTCAGCACGGATACAGAGGGCTAGTTTCGTATATGCCAGTTTACGCCATCTCTGGCTTAGTAGACATGATATCCGACTGACTATCGACCAAAGGGATCAACAGTCCGCTCCGTCCTCCTTTATGGCTGGCTGTGAGACCTGGCCATTGAGAGCGGAAGACATGAAAAGACTAGCTGTCTTCGATCATAGGTGTCTGCGTTCTATCTCCCGCGTGAACTGACATAATTAGGTGAGCAATATTGAGGTTAGGCCATCGGCCGAGTGCTAGTTAGTAAGGAGGAGAAATCAATCGATGAGGCTGTGAAATTACATCGACTGAGATGGTTAGGACATGTGTTACGCATTCATGCCTAGTCATCGCCTTCCTCGACAATGGGGGCAATGTTAGCTGATATAGGGTCAGGCTGGAAAAGAGCTAGCCAGTAGCGGTCAAACGAAAACATGGCACCAGTCAATGAAATCTACAACAGTTAGTCTAAGCCAGTCACGTAGGAAGGTGTAGACTTCCTGACTGGTTGGGGTCCTCGGGACGGTAAAAACCAATGAAGGCTGGAAACAATTGGTGACATGGCTCAAAGTGATCGTTCTCAATGGCTGATGCAGATGCATCGACTCCTTGTGACTTATGATTTCCAATGAAACTGTTTTGTTCTTCGTTATTACTATACCTTTGTCTCACACCTCTGTTTACTGTCTATATTATGCATTTCTTCCACTTTCTTCTCTTGCTTTGTGTGCTACATAAAGGGAGTGTGGCGACTTGAACTGCCGCACATACGTGCAATGTTCTATGTTGAAAACAGACAGACAGACATGTGATCAGGACACTACAAACCAGTTGCCTAAGTTGATGTAGGTGGGATCTATTCTATTGTCTGAAAGTCGAATGCTTAAGTTAATAAGCTATTACTGTGACAATTATCAATGAGCTTGTCTCGTAACCTGAAGTTCCTAATTTCGCTTGGGTGGGAACATGGGCACTACTGTGAAAGAGTCCCCCCAAAAAAGAGGAAGAAACGACTGTGCAGTACTTCCTGATTCTTTAACCGATACCAATCCATGGTCAGACTTGGAACCAATCAAATACCTACAAACACTAGAACGTTAATCTGATGCGCAGAAGTGACTGCCTGACTGACTACAGGGTTAAACTGTCTGGAGGTTCAGTGAGACGCCGTGACTAGTGGGACCCCCACAAAGTCGATTGTGAGAACAAATACTCGCCGATAGCATTGGACGGCACTGACGCTAAAAAAATCGCTAACTGATAGAACTTAGAATTCAGAGGCTACTGAATTTGGTCCCAGTGGCTGAAATGACAGAGATCTCGTAACCTGGATGTCTTGGGTTCAATCCAGGACGAAACACCTGTGCAGTATCACCTTGTTCTCAACCGCTCTCTAACTAACATCACTCCTTGATCAAACCGAAAAGTATATTTTTTTCGCATTTATTAGTCTTGTGAAGTGTAAAAAGCAGTTCATTTGATAAGGCAGCACAGTGGAAAATAAAACAGAAGGTGAGAAGTAGTTTAATACACAGCGTGAATTTCGTCTTATCAGTATATGTCAGCTGCATACAGCCCCATTTTAGTGAGTAATGGTACACCAGCTGAAAATAGAATCCACAGACCACAGTTCCATAAACGAAAGAATTTTTTCAAGAGGTTAATCAGACAAAAGAGCTACTGATTTTGCAGAAGGTATTACCAAAGCTTATTTGATGAAACTGGCCTGAAATAATCGGGGAATAGTAATTATACTTGGAATTCTCAAACCTGTCCTATTTGTAACTGAATTACTCGCAATAGGAAACTACTTATCAACTAGTGTATAGGACACTGGAATTGCAACTGTGCTCATGACACGGCTTTACCCCAATAACTGACACAGTTGGTTGTACCATCTTATGATTAATTCTATAGGAGTCTATAATTTTCGCTATTAAGTCTAGTGTTCAGTGAAATGCACTACTTGTGGTTCCTTTATAAAGGCTGATCTCTAACTTATCACCTTACGTATAGATCAATACTTATTAAAATATCCTGTAGTTTTAAGAAAACATATTTGTTCTCTAACTGATGTCAGCTCATGATGAAATCCTCCTTGGAATACTCACATCTCATCACGAATTACACCTGTTCATTATATCTGTAACATATTTTCAGGTTTCACCTCAAGTACTATTTCATCTTAACCCCTAATTAGCTTATTATTCATTCAGTATGATAAATTATACGAGAAACGCATCCCTCCTATCGATATTCGGATTTTAGTTATACTATGTTCACTTATATTTCATGCTCAATTAAAAGATAAACGTGTTTTATCATTCACCGAAAGCAGCATTTCCAACAGCTGCCATCGCTCCATACTGAAGATCGGATGACCAGCGAAAAATGGATCCGCAACAAAGAATTCTAATATAGAAAAAATCCCCATTTAGACATTTGGAAAACAGAAAGATTGAGGGAAGAAATATTTACTTTTCAGTTAGATCCTCATCTCTGGCTCTACTCTAATATGTATGCAGCATTTTTAATTACAATACACAACAGTTTACCAATCAAGTGGCACTGATATGTTTGTTATTAATAATTAGTCAGTGTCAAAATGTCAATGCGACGGGTGATAATTAACGAAGAAAATCAGTACACACATTTAAAAGGTAGAAATGGGTAGAATAAATTAATTTTACAAGGATAACACGTAATTAAAGATGAAGTGGTCAAAATAAATAAAAATAAAATAATTTGGACAACTATAGTTTTTTTTTATAGTTTTTAAAGGTTTAGGGGGAGGGGGCGACGTAGTCCTGTTTATGCATTCTTGTAACGATGGTCACGGTAAGGAAAGTGGCTGTACAATTTTCTTCTGAACACATAAGCTTGGCTTCTTTAGGTGGATTCGTATTGCTTCAGCTGTGGGTATATAGAAGACGAACTCGTAGAGCAAAATTAAGATTAGTCGGAATGCGATAAATAATTTTGAATGTAGTATTCACATCGACCTTATGCTCAGTATCAAAAAGGTGTGCTAAAATAGAACTACGAATAGATCTTGTTTGTCCCTTGTTTAACCATGCTGGATGGTGTTCGGAAATACGACGATGAAACTGCCTAATTGTACGCCCAATGTAGCTGGCTCCGCAGTTGCAGTCAAACTGGTAGATACACATAGAAGAGGCAAATTTAGGTAGTTTATCCTTATTTCTCGAACATAGAATAGGGTTGGTTTTGAAGAGACAACGTACCTCTGCTGCATAATAAGCTCTTTTAACTGCATTCTTCTGGCGCTGTGTTATGATTTCGCTGATGTTGTCACCGAGGAATTCTAGCAGGGAACCAACCCAGAATCAAGTGAACAACAAATATGACTAAGGAAATGAAGGTGGATCGAACACACACGCTAACGAGACTGATGAGTGAAATCACAATCTTGTCAGGCTGTCAAGCATAACGCATGAAAAGCAAACGAAATGTTGGGCCTCCGCGTTTGACGCAGCACAGATAGTGTTAAGGAGGGTTGTGGAGCTGATTAGAAATGACTGGATAGAACAGGATAAAATAGAGATATTCTATTCAAGCCATATATTCCACTCGGGAATAATAATAATAATCACAATAATAGTAGCGAAAATTCGAAAACTTGATGTTGTTTGGTCTCCTTAGAAGAATCTTTGCATGAATGCATGGCCTAAGTGAGAATTACATAAGTCAAGAGTGTTAATCCGTCCCATACTAGATATATCTAATCAGCTTATCAAGAGACTGCATACAAATAGCACCCCTTTATGACACATTCCCACTGATTTAAATCCCTCCGATGGAAACTTTTGACTACATCTGCTGACAGATGACAGAGAGAAACTGCACACTAATATTCATGTTGTAAATCTGAGGGCAAAATTATGTCCAATTCCTGATTAATCATGAAATATATATAAATAAATTGATGGATTAGATATGAGATCTTCACTAGACCCTATACTTGTGGATATATTTCTAGAAAAACAAGAAAATGAAACGTCAAAAGACGTAACAGCGCAAGTGAAACTGTACCGTCGTTACGTGGATAACACTCTCTTGTAGTCTACGATAAAGGTGTACTTAATGATTCGATTTTGGGCCACTTTACTAGTACTCACTTAGCCGTTTACCTTACCTACGAGTGAGAATACAGTGACTGTGAAATATCTCAACGTCTCACTGATGAGAATAATAATAATAATAAACTACTTTATTCCAAAACAGACAGTACTTAGAATACAGAATGGAATTCTCAGTATTTGTCACAATATTGCATCTGATTTACTCAAAATATGTGTAAAATTAAAAATTAAAACAAAATTAATCGGAGAAATTTGTCCACATTTACGATATGAAGTCAAAAA